CACATCCAGCAGTATTTCTGTTTTAATATTTAGATCTTTAAGTCTGGGATTTAGCTCAGTGGTGCCACTGCCTACCTCAAAAACACAAGGTCCCAAGTTCGATCCCCAGTACCAAAAACAAAAACAAAATATTTAGATCTTTCATCCATTTCAATTTTAGGTTAGTGCAAGGTGAAAGATATGGGTCTAGGTTTAATTTCTGGTATGCAGAAAGCTAGTTTTCCTGGCACCATTTACTTTATTTTCCCAGCACCATTTATTAAAGGGGCTTTCTTCCAGTGAAGGTGTTTAGCTACTTCATCAAAAGGTGGCTGAGTGTGAGAAACTGAAAGTGGAAATAAGAACAAAAATATATAACAGATATTGAGAAATGGGAAGAAAATGTTTAAATGGGAAAGGGAACAGGGAAGGAAGAGGGAGAAATGAAGGAAGGGACAAGAAAAAAAAGTGAAAATAGAAGGAAAAATGGAAAAGCTTTTGTACATAGGGAGGGGAAGGGAGGGAGGTATTGGAATAAAATTTAAAAAAAAATTTAAGTTTCTATACCCAAACTATGAAAAAGAAAAAAAACCAAGTGTTTTTGGGTATTATCAAATATTTGGGGGCTGAGGATACAGGTCGGAGGCAGAGCACAAATTTAGCACACATGAGGCTCCGGTAACATCCCCATTACTGGGGGAAAAAAAATTTTTTTTTCTTCAGTTAAGGTATAAACTTTCATTAAATCATATGGCAAAATACTAAATTCAATTAATCAGTTTTCATTTCATCTTATAATTTCTCTATTTTTTTTTTTTTTTAAAGTTTTTTTGGTACTGGGGATTGAACTCGGGACCTTGCACTTGGGAGGCAGACAGTGGAACCACTGAGTTAAATCCCTGGCCTTTTTTTTTTTTTTTTTTTTCCCCCGTAGTTTTTTGAGATAGGGTCTCACAGTAGTTCAGGCTGGCCCTGGGCTCACCATGTAGCTTAGGCTGGCTGTGAACTCACTCTAATCTACCTGCCTCAGCCTTCTGAGTGCTGTAATTATAGGTATACACCATAATGCCTGGGGTTTCATTTATAATTTCTATGTGTTACAACAAAAATTACATGATGAGCTGCCAAGCTGATTGGTTTATCTCAAAAAACTTTTCTCCTAAGGCGGGCATGGTGGCGAACACCTGTAATTCCAGCCCTAGGGAGGCTGAGGTAGGAGGATTGATGTGAGTTCGAGACCACCCTGGGCTACACAGTGAATTCCAGGTCAGTCTCAACTATGCAGTGAGACCCTGTCTCAAAAAAAAAAAAAAAAAAAAAAAAACAAAAAAAAAAACAAAAAAACAAAAAACACAACAACAAAAAAACAAAACAACTTTTCTCCTAAATTATGAAAGGAATACGGGCTGGAGATTTAGCTCAATGGTTCCACTGCCTGCTTCGCAGGTGCAAGGTCCTGAGTTTGATCCTTGGTACCCTTACCCCCCAAATTATGAAAGGAATAAGATTTACAATGGATTTATTTCTAATTTTTAACATGATTTTAAACTGTTTTTTGTTTTGAGACAGGGTCTCATTTTGTAGTTAAGGCTGACCTTGAACTCACTATGTAGCTCAGGGTGGCCTTGAACTCACAGCAAGCCTCCTGTAACTCCCTGCGTGTGCTCAGCTCAACTGTTCTTAAAAGTCAGTTAATAAGCTAGGCAAGGTAGCCTGGGTACATGCCTGTAATTCTAGCATTGAGGGCGACTGAGGCAGGGCAATCACAGTTCAAATTTCATTGTGCAATTTAGCAAGCTCCTGTCTCAAAAATAAAGGCTGGGCAAGGTGATATGTACCTGCAATCCCAGCACTTGTGAGGCTGAGGCAAAAGGCTGAGAGTTCCAGGCCAGCCTGGGCTACATAGGCCGGCCTCAACTATAAAGCAAGACCCTGTCTCAAAACAATCCAACCAATCAACCAAAACTAAAACAAAAAAAAAAACCCAAACAAAACAAAACAAAAACAAACAAAAAGACAAAAAAGTGAAGAATGATTTAAACAGCCTAAATGACAAACTGCCTTTGCCAATTAAATTATCTACCAAGAATTTCCCATAAATTTAATGTACAAATAAATAACTTCAAATATTTTATTTGTTTTTGGTCAGAGGTATGTTTCAAGTAATAAAAGCATTTTATTAAAGGATAAATAAATCTTTAGGTAAAGTTTAATTTAAAAAATTTATCTTTTCCAGGTCCCTTTCAGTGTATTAAATTAAATAAAGTGCCTCTAAGCAAAGGAATAACATAAATTCTTAGGCACTTAATAGTTAGTTATGATACTTCTTTGGTGCATTCCCGGACTTGGGAACAGGAACTTCCTCCAGCACCTGGGTAATGGACCCTCTGACCCAGCACTTTTCATTTTTTTGCTTCCCCTAAATACAAATAAATAAATAAATTTATTTTAAAATCTAATATTGGGCTAGGGATTTAGCTCAGTGGTTCCGGCGCCTGCCTCACAAGCACAAGGGCCTGAGTTCAATCCCTGGTACCAAAAAAAAAAAAATTAAAATTTCTAAAAATAAAAAAATAAAAAATAAAAATCTAATATTAGCTGGGCATAGATGGTGGCACAAGCCTATAATCCCAGCAGTCAGGAAGCTGAGGCAGGAAGATTACTGCAAGTTTGAAGCCAGACTGAACTACCTAGTGGGTTCAGGGCCAGCCTGAGACCCTTTCTCAAAAAGCAAAACAAGATAAAAATCTGTGTGTGTGTGTGTGTGTGTGTGTGTGTGTGTGTGTGTGTGATATCTCTGTATCTATCTATATGATGCCAGATAACTCTTGTGATTTCTAGTGTGTGACTTAAAAAAAGCTGAAATAACTAAATGACTTTACTGTATTTATTTATTTGGTCTTTTGAGACAGGGTCTCACTATGTAGTTGAGACTGACCTGGAACTCACTATGTAGCCCAGACTGGCCTCAAACTCACAGCGATCCTCCTGCCTCAGCCTCCCGAGTGCTGGGATTACAGGTGTGCACCACCACACCTGGCTTGACTTTACTATATTAAAGCTCTTTCTAAACCAGGAACCGGGCCAGGGATTTAGCTCAGTGGTTCCGCTGCCTGCTTTGCAAGCATGAGGTCTGAGTTTGATCCCTGGTACCAAAAAATAGATAAATAAATAAAAATAAATGCATTATCTAATTTAGGAACCTGTAATCCCAGCTACTTGAGAGGCTGAAGTAGGAGGATAACAAGTGTCAGGCCAGACTGTTAGACCCATCTCAAAATAAAAAAATAAAAAGGGTTAGAGCTGGGTGTGGTGGCACACACCTGTAATCCAACACTCAGGAGGCTGAGGCAGGAGGATTGCTGCAAGTTTGAAGCCAGCCTGAATTACACAGTAGGTTCAAGGCCAGCCTGGGCCACACAGTGAGTTCAAGGCCACCCTAAACTAGACAGTGAGACCCTGTCTCAAAACAAACAAACAAACAAACAAAACCAATGAAGAAAAGTGGGGGGGAGTTTAGGAATGTAGCTGTGTGGTAGAAGGCTTGTCTAGCAAGCTCCTAGATTTAATCTACACCACAACCAAAAAACAAAAACCTCTTTCTACTCCCAACTGTTTATGTAAACAAAGTTGTTTTTATTTACTGTTGTTTTTTTGAGACAAGGTTTACTATATAATTCAGGCTGGCCTTGAACCCACTACATAGCTCAGGCTCGCTTCAAACTTGCAGCAATCCTCCTGCCCTGTCCTCTGGAGTGCTGGGATTATAGGCGTGTGCCACCATGTCCAGTGTTAAACAAAATCTTTGAGATATACAAAAGCAAGACAATGTAACTGATACTGAATCTGATTTCATTCTGAGGAAGAAAATCTGAAATATTCTAAAAAATTATCTTGAAAAGATGTATCTTGAAGATCTGATGATCAATGAAAAAATTTTAAGGGTTTTGAAATAGCTCAGTAGTAGTGCTGTGTAATACCATGGGTTTTGGCCAGGGATTTACCTCAGTGGTTCCTCGGCCTGCCTCACAAGTGCAACTCCCAAATTTGATCTCCAATACCAACAAAAAAAAAGACCATGGGTTTGAGCCCCAGCACCGAAAAACAAAAAATCTATAAAATAAAAAATATAATATATTAAGTATGGAAAAAGAATCGTGATTGTAATTTATAGTCAATCATGGCATTAACTTTGTGTAAAGCTCTAAAGCAGATACAGTACAGATATTTTTTCTCAATTAGACTGTATAGTAATATATTAAGAGTTAGGAATTTTTATTCTTATTTTATAGAGAAGTTCCTAAAGTTCAGGAAGGTTAAACAATTTCCTTGGTTTTACATAAGATATTATTGATAAGTTTCCTTTTGCTGACAAGAAATAGACAGCAAGCCACCATAAGAAAACATAAGTTTGGAGATCTTTAAAAAAAAAACTAAACTCATGAAATTCAGGCCCTTTACTAGTTTAAATTGTTAGTTTACTAGTCAGAATGTTAGGAGCTTGGACTGTGGGGTTGGGTTAACCTGTGATGAACAAAAACCACATGTGCTGTGACATTTAGGACCCAACACAAGGGTCTAAAATACTGAGTCTCAATATCCTCATCTAAATCCAGGGAGGACAACAGTACTCACCTTCCATGCTGATGAATGTTGAATACAAAGGTACATTTGAAGTAATAAAAGCATTTACCTGGCATAGTAAATTCAATAGAAATTACTAAGAATGCATTAAAATGTCCTTGTACATAAATATCTAGTCACCTAGCCAATTAATTCATTAGGATAAATTCCTGAGAGTACAGTAAGTGGCTCAGAGTATATAAACATTTAAAAGGCAATATAGTTTTCTTGCCAGGGATTTAGCTCAGTGGTTCCACCACCTGCCTCACAAGCTCAAGGGCCCAAGTTCGATCCCCAGTATCAAAAAAAACAAAAAACTACTTAAAAGGCAATATATTTTTCTTAACAATTTTCTAAAAAAGTGATTATGTTTATATTCTATCAGAGAAGGTGCTCACCTTTTGGGGCGGGGAAGCCCCATTGGGGTAAGATTAGGATCTGGTTTAGGAATGGTTTTCCGGATGCGAATCTGAGAGACTTTCTTTGGCCTCTTCTCTGGCTCAGCCTGCTTTTAAGGGTTAAAAAGAAAGATGGTCAAGGTTTGAGACATGTTAAATAAAACCCCTTTCTTCACATTCAAGATTGCTTTCTCAGTTTATAGAATTCTAATAAATATAGGTTTGACTTCTAGCACTGCAAAAAGGGAGCATTTATTTTGCTTTTTTTTTTTTAAGTGGTGCTCTTGGCACAAGTGAGCAGAATATCAGTTTCATCCCTAATAAATAGCATATGACCAATCTTCTCTCACTCCTGCTGTTTTCAGCAACTATCTGTTCCATATTACTAAAACAGAATTGTATATTCAATTCAGACACTGAGATAATTAATATGAAAGTCTGGGGCCAGGGATTTAGCTCATTGGTTCCGCTACCTGCTTTGCACATGCAAGGATCTGAGTTCAATCCCTGGTACCAAAAAAAAAAAAAAAGTCTGTACTTGTGGAGACAGCAGATGTTGCAAAACTAAAGAACACCATCATTCACTCATCTTTGAATGCACAAAGCTGCTCTTTGGGTCGAGTGTCTATAAACACTGTTAAATGCTGTCACCAAGAAAAAAAGGATATGGAAAGCAAGACAGATTAAAAAATTCACGGTGGGTATAGTGGCATCCACCTGTATTCTCAGCGACTTTGGAGGCCAAGGTGGGATCACTTGATCTCAGAAGTTGAAAGCCAGCCCGGACAACGTAGCAAGATACTGTCTCTAAAAACAAACTAAAAAACAAAAATCCAGTGTATCCTTTAATGGCTACTCACAAAGACTCTTTGCTCAGTATGTTTCAGTACTGACCTGATGCTGAAGGCAGTAAGTAAAGATGCAGGAGGCAGTCTGTACATATCACATGACGTGAGTCAAGGATGGAGGAGACACCAATACCAGGGCCATCTGACTGCACTGGTATAGTGCTTCACATTTACCTCTTTCTGTTCTGGAGAGCTGCTCTGCGGTCGGGGGCATGCTGCTGTCACACCATCCAGTTCATCAAACCCAGGGACTTGGAACTCAGAGGTTGAAAGCAGGAGATTGCTGACAGCTGGTTCTGTTACTAAGCAAGACTTTGGTACCAAGGTAGGGAAAGCAGGCTCCAGCCTAGGACCATGGAGAAAAGGGAAGACAATATGAAAGGGGTTTCCTTTCTACCTTTGGCACTTTCACCTTCTTACCACGCAGACCAAAAGTAAAGGTGTCCTTTCTAGGAAGGTTATCTTGAGCCAATCTGTTTTTTTTTAAATTTCTTTTTTTTGTTGTTGTTGTTATTTTGTTTTTCTAGTCATTTCTGGACATAGCCTGGGTCTATATATGTTAAAAAAAAGGACAATAATGTGGTTATTTAATTTTATTTCATTGAAATAAGAAGTTTTATAAGGAAAAATGCAAAAAGGAGGCTGGGAATATAGCTCAGCGGCACTGCACCTGCCGGGAAAGTTTGAGTTTGATCCTCAGTACCTGGAAAAAAAAAAAGGGAACAGACTTTTGGGGGAAGAGGACATTCTGTACATTAAACAAATGAACAGTGCTTAGATGAGATTGATGTAATTCAGGGAATGAAGTTGGCTAAGTGAAGAGCCATGAAATAATTTGAGAGTAGTCTTTTGATATGATAAACTGGCTCAGGATTTTCAATTTTTTGTTTAAATAAATGGTATTGATTATGCACCTCTACTCCCTACCTGCAACACTGCATATTTGAATCCCAGAGATGTGAGAGATACAGATCAGGTATATAACAGGGACAGAGTTGTACCTCACTGACCCACAACCACCTGTAAACATTTGAGGATGTTCTGCACACACGTGTGCACACACCCTCTCTCTCTCACACTCACACACACACCCACACCCACGAGCCCTCCTGTGCTAAAGGCTTACCTCATCTGACTGCCACTGGTTCTATATGTGGTTTCCAAGCCCGGAAGAGGCACATATGGTAAAACGGTGTGGCTGAAGTTAAGCAAAAGTACAAAAGCAGCAGTTATGATGGTGGATGACAGGTAAGGTTCTGATGCTATTATGGGTATCAACACATGATACAGGATCCTAGTGGGGCCAGGGATTTAGCTCAGTAGCACTGCCGCCTGCTTCAAAAGTGCAAGGTCCCGAGTTCAATCCTGAGTACCCGCCCTTAAAAAAAAAGTATCCTAGTAAGGATGAAAACCTCCTTATCATGAGAAATATGCTTGTGTAAATCACTAGAATGAAAGCGGGCTGAGAGGAAGATTATTTTCTAATTTTTTAAAAGGATTTTAAGCAGGGTGTGGTGGCACATGCCTGTAATCCCAGCACTCGGGAGGCTGAGGCAGGAGGATCGCTGTGAGTTCGAGACCAGCCTGGGCTGCACAGTGAATTCCAGGTCAGTCTCAACTACATAGTGAGAACCTGTCTCAAAACCAAAAAACAACAACAACAACAACAAAAAGATTTAAATTTTGATAAAGTCTAGTTTATTTTCCAATTTAAATGAAAGAAGATGGGAGAGAAATAAGGAAAGGACAGTAAGAGAAAAGAGGGGAATGAAAATGATTTGGGGCCCTTAGCATTTAATAAAGTTGTTGAGCATGTATACTGAAGATTTTTTTTAATTAAAAAAATCTTGCTTTGTTTCTTTTTTGGTTTTTTTTGAGACAGGATCTCACTGTACGATTCAGGTGGGCCTTGAATTCACTGGCCACCAACTCACAGTAATCTCCTGCCTTGGCCTCTCGAGAGCTGGGATTACAGGTGTGAACCACCACACCTGGCTATACCTTGCATTACTGAACACTGTATTAATTTGAAATAAAAACTGCCATTTAGGGCTGGGGATTTGGCTCAGTGGTTCCACCACCTGCCTCACAAGCACAAGGACCGGAGTTCGATCCCCGGTACCAAAACCAAAACAAAACAAAAAACAAAAACAAAAATACTGCCATTTCATATAACCTGACAAAATATTGTGGAGAAACATACTTTTCTTTAAAGCCAAGTTGCACATAAAACATGGCTATGTAGAAGAAAATTGAGTTGATTGCGTTATAATTAAATTCCATATTTTCAGCTAAAACAATAGTACTAATCACCTATAGTGAACTTATGTGCGATAGAGATTTTTGTGGCTCTCAAAGTAAAACCAGCATTACTATTGATTTTAGAACATGGCACAGGCTTCCCAGAGAATTTGTTTAATGGCTAGGAAAAACAGGTAATTCAGGGCTCTAGAATAATGTCTAGCACCAACTCTGGTTTCCCTGAAGGAATGCTGATGAAAGAAAAGAAGCAGGATGGGATACTGGATAAAAAGCTAACCGAACCAGGAGTCCTTGGTCCTAGGATCTGATTTATAGCACTTTTTCCCTTTCTGTCTCTCTCTTTTTTTTATAGCAGCTCATCACACACGCATCTGGTAAAGCTTGGCGGACCTTCATCTATGGCTTCTACTTCTACAAGATGGTGATGGATTAAAAAAAAAAAAGTTAGTAATGGATAACTGATCAAGGCCAGAGCCAAGATGAAGGCAGGTGCCAACAGGGGCTGCAGTTTTTCCTGGTCACAGTGCTTCATATGACAGTGCTTTTTTTTTTTTTTTTTTTTTTTTTT